CGAGACCTACCAGGCCAACAACTGCCAGGGTGCATGCGGCTGGCCGCAGTCCGACCACAACCCGCACTACACCAACCACGTGGTGCTGCTGCTGAAGATGCAGGCTCGCGGGGCAGTCCTGGCACGCCCACCCTGCTGTGTGCCCACGGCCTACACGGGCAAGCTCCTCATCAGCCTGTCCGAGGGGCGCATCAGCGCGCGCCACGTGCCCAACATGGTGGCCACCGAGTGCGGCTGCCGGTGACCCTCGTCCCATATTTATTCAGACCCAAGCATCACCTCAATAAAGACCAGGAGCACCCAGCTGGGTGACCGTGCATGGATCCCTTCTCTTCAATCGCGCAAGGCCTGGATCACCCCCGGGGGTGCTCTCCACCCCCATCCTTCAGGCCCGGGAGTTGAGGCACAGAGGAGCAGACTACTCGGCCGGCCGCAGCACTTCCTTTATTTTGCTGGAGCCACGGCGGAGGCTGTAGATGGGTCCTGGGATTCTCACGGAGAACCCAGCACGGCTCAGTTCCGCCCTTTGCCCAGGCGGTGCTTCTGCTTGCCCGGGGGCTGGTCCTCTTCGGAGCGCCGCGGGGAGGCCCAGGCCTGCCTTTTCCGGTGCTCGGGGTCCCTGGAGTCCCTCGCCCATGGCCGATGGCCCCCTTCGCGCGCCTCCCAGCGTCGGGGCAGAGCTTCCTTGGGTTCTCTGGCAGCCTGTGGCCTCTCCTTCTGTGGCCTCTCCTCCTTCCGCGGTTTCTTCTTCCAAGGCTTCTTGTCTTTCTGCGGCCTCTCCTTCCCCGGCTTCTCCTTCCTTGGCTTCTCCTTGGGTGCTTGCTCGGCAAGAGTCACGTGCTCTTCCTCAGCGGCCTCTCCTGTGACCCTCCCGGGATCTCCCTGCACCTTCTCTGCAGCCTGCCGGCTCCTGGAAACCTCTGGCTTGTCCCCTGCCTCTGCCTGAGGTGCAGGTGGCCCCACCTGGGACGCAGGTGGTTTCGATGGGGGCACCCAGGCGACGGGCTTAGACTGTAATGCGGACAGTGTGATATCCTAGGCCCAAACCCACTTCTGTCACCGAGCCCGCCTCCCCACCCTCCCATTGGCGCCCCCTAAGGAAGTGCTTACTGCGTGCACAGCTGGGTCCTTGGGGGGTGAGATCGGTGAGATCCACGGGGTGGGGGCCGGCTCCTCTCCAGCCACAGCATCTGGGGGGGAGGCAGATCATCCTGGGGTGCAACATGGACCCCACCATCCATCCCTCCCTCTTCCCTGAGCACCCCTATTCGGGCCATGGGACTCCCCTGGGTACCAAGAGGCAGCTTCCCTGGCTTCTGAGCCACTGGGCTCTGTGGTGCAGGGGCGCCCCTTCCCTCGAGACCTCGCTTTTTATTATTTATTTGCTTGTTATTTATTTTGCTTGTTTTGACAGGGTCTCACTGTAGTTCAAGCTGACCTTAGACTAGGCAGCCCAGGCTGGCCTGGAACTAGAAGAGTTCCTCCTGTCTCAGCCTCCTGAGTGTTGGGATTACAGGCCTGCGGCCCCTCCCCAAGCTCTGTCCGACCTCCCCCTTTAAAAGGAGGGTCATTCTTTTTTCCCCCAGGGCTGCAGGCCAGCCTCCTGGCAAGGTTTGGTGGGCGTTAAGACCCTCCCCTAAAGCACACAGGAGGTAGAGGGGGACTGTGCAGGCCAGGAGGGCAAGAGACTTCAAACAGGAAGGGGAAGGGCCCTGCGCCACTCTGTCCCAGGGAGTCTGTGAGATGGTGCGTGGGGTGACCACGGGGCACACTCGTCACTGTCTTTCTCAGAAAGGGGAATGTAAGGATCTGGGCGAGGTGAGGGAGTCACCCCAGGCTCAGGGCAGGGACAGGGTTGCAAGGCTGGCCAAGGGTCGAGGGCACTAAACTCATTCCTTAATTCGGGCGTGGTGGCACATGCCTGTCATCCTAGGGCTGTGGGAGGCCGAAGCAGGAGGACTGCAAATTCGAACCCAGCTGGGGCAATTTAGCGACTTAGAAAGACTGTCTCAAAAAAAAAAAAAAATCTAAGTGCTGAGGATGGAGCTCAGTACAAAGGCCAGGGGTTCCAGCTCCAGTAGTGCAAGGAAACAAACAAAAAACCCATCCCGGGGACCAGCGATTTTGCCTTGCAAGCTCAAGGTCCTGAGTTCGATTCCCAGGAACAACAACAAAAAAGACCCATTCCAGACCTACCCTCGCGTGCACCGCCCCTTCCCTGGAGGTGGGGTGCTCAGATGGCCCCAGCCCCGCCCCATGTCCAGGGACCCGGGCTCACCGCGGCACAGCTGGAAAGCCGAGCCCAGCAGCGCCACCAGCGAAGCCAGGACCAGGCACTTGTTGACCGTCACATCTCCCCAGGGCAGCTCCTCGCTCAGGCCCGGGGGCGTGCTCTAGTCCCAACCAGCATGTACACTCTCCTGGAATTGCAGCTCTCTCAGTGGGCCTTTCTGTTTCACCGTCTTCCCGCCATTCCCCAGTGACCTGCAGTTATCACACAGATGAGCGGAGGCCACAGTGGAGGCCACTCAGCCAGAGCCCCTCCCCCGCCCCAGCACCCGCCTTGGAGGACCCACCCGCTGGCCTGCGCCCCCTGCACCACAACACGCCCGCCCTCTTTTTATCCCAGGCTGCTGCAAACCCACTCGCTCCGGATTTCAGCTTCTCTTTTCCGGGGTCTGGTGTTCCCCTGGCCATAGCCTCCTTCTCCATCTTTTTGTGCCTGGCATCCACACCTCCCCGCCTTGGAGGACCCACCCGCTGGCCTGCGCCCCCTGCACCACACCACGCCCGCCCTCTTTTTATCCCAGGCTGCTGCAAACCCACTCGCTCCGGATTTCAGCTTCTCTTTTCCGGGGTCTGGTGTTCCCCTGGCCATAGCCTCCTTCTCCATCTTTTTGTGCCTGGCATCCACACCGCTCCCCGCCTGCAGCTCCTGAGAAACCTGTGCGGGTAAGCAGACTTTTGGGTCAGTTGTTTTGTTCTGTTAGTTCTCTCTCTCTCTCTCTCTCTCTCTCTCTCTTTCTCTCTTCTTCATCTTTTTCTTTCTTTTTTCTTTTGCAGTACTGGGGATGGAACCCGGAGCTTCTGTTCTGAGCTACACCCCCTGCCCCTTTTAATTTTTTTAAATTTTCAGATCAGGTCTTGCTAAATCACCCAGATTAGTCTTTAATTTGAGATCCTTCTGCCTCAGCCTCCCAGAGTGATTGGATGACAGGCATGGGCCACCAAGCCCAATCAGAGCGGTCTTTTACTTTTTTTTTTTGATACCAGGGATTGAACTCAGGACCTTACACTTGCAAGGCGGGCGGCTGAGCCACTGAGCTAAATCCCCAGTCTTCTTCTTTTTCTTAAAAGGAGGAAAGGTTTATTTAGCTCACAGTTTGTACAGGTTTCAGTCTATAATCAGCTGACTCCAAGGTAGGTGGCACATGGCAGAGGGGCAACAGTTCATGGCACCCACACCGTAGCAAAAGCAACAGGGACCAAGGTAGTGTTTCTTTTTGTCTTCTAAGAGACAGTCTCTTCCTTGGCCAGCATGTCCCCAACTCTGAGGTCCCCAGCTACTCACCTGGGGCCGGCTGCTGGTCTCAGCTACCCTGGGTGTCGCTGTTCGTGGGAATAGAGACAGTGAAGGTTGTGGGACACCCCCAAGCTAATCCCACCCTACCCCCTCCTTGCTCTGCTGGGCCAAGGTAGAGAAGAGCCCGTGTTACAGATGACCTCACAGAGCAGACCAGCTCAGAGACAGCATTGCCCAAAGACACACAGTGCTCAGTAGCAGCCTGCTGGGACTCAAACCCAGATCTGTGTCTGGCACCTGTGTTCTGGGGCAAACCCTGAGGCAGAAAGTGGGGAGCAGGGAAGTCAGTGCAGAGTGGAGGGACACCAGGTACCTCGGGCCTTGTCCTCCTGCGGCCAGCCCAGGCCGGCCTCCACCAGCACAGAGAGGTCCTCGCCAGCCAGGCAGCTGCCCAGGCCCCGGTCCAGCTCCTCCAAGGCTTTGGTTGTCATGGAGACAGGAGCAGCGTCCCTCCCTCCTCAGCGGGCCTGGGAGTGGAGGGGAAGGGGTGTTGCCTTCCCAGAGCCTGCAGTGGTCACATGTGGCCTGGGGGTGCTGTGGGCTAGAAGTAACCAGCCCCTGGGCCACCTCCCAGCCCTTGTGTCTTCCTCTTTCTCTGGAGCAGCTTTCCTGGATAAATTCACACATTTTTGTTTTCCGGGTACTGACGCTTGAACCCAGGACCTTCACACTGTAGTACATCCCTAGCCCTTTTTTTTATTTTGAGACAGGTCTCCCTAAGTCCCTAAGTTGTCCAGGCTGGGCTCCAACTTGCAGTCTTCCTGCCTCAGCCTCCCAGGGTGCTGGAATGACAGGCAGATACCATCATGGCCACTACTATTTGACTAATTTACAAAGTACAGCCCTAGGTACCCTACTCCACTCCCCCACACCAGCCTTGGGAGCTTCCCCATGATCTCTCCTCTCTCAGGTCCCACCCCTGCATTGCTCAGTATGGTGGTCAAGGCTGTAGGAGGTCAGAGAGGGACTGGAACCCACCCAAAGCCACACAGCAGTAAGTCAGACGTACAGCCCAAACCAGAACCCAGGCCCAGGTCAGCTCATGTTCTCTGAGACCAGGGACTATTTTTATCTGGTGTCTAAGGACATCAGGAAAGGCCAGAGGTGGCCCTGCCCCTTCCAGGCCATCCCTTCTTTGGGGGTCTCCTTCACCCATTCCATCCTCACCAAACCCCAAAGCCTGACACACTCTTGTCATCCTAGCACTCTGGGAGGCTGAGGCAGGAAGATGGAGAATTTGAGCCCAGCCTGGGCAATTTTAGCACTTAGCAAGACCTGTCTCAAAATAAAATACAACAAAGAGCTGGGGCGGGTGTCTCGGTGTGAAGGACCTGCGTTCAAGCCCCAGGACTGGGTGGGGGTGGTGGGGACCAAAGCAAAACAAAAAAAGCCCCCACCGCACGGATCTAAGGGGCTCCAAGCCCCAGGAGCCAGAATTAGCCTGGTCCGGGTGACCGGCGAGGGCAGGGAAGGTAGTCCTAGGAATCTGCTGATCCTCAAACTGGATCCAGGCCTCCGGTTGCTGCCTTTGTGTGCGTATAGCACAGGGAAAACAGGCTGGAGCCAGACTCCTCGGAGACTGGTGCTAAGCTTGCAGCCAGACCCACAGCCTTGCTCTTCGGAGTCCCCAGGGCCTCTGGCTGCCAGTCACCTTCAGTGAGGCCTCCTCTTGGGGCAGCAAGACCACCCCTTCCTTGGGACTCCAGACAGTGCTGGGAGAGGGGCTTGGCCCCCTGGGAGGCGGGGAGGGAGCACAGCCTCAGGTGTGTGTGTAGGGCGTAGTCGCTTCAGGAGTTGGGGACCCCCTTCCCGGATGCCGGGGACCCACACTCCACCCAGATCTCCCAGACCCCGCTTACCCCACAGCCTCTGCACTGGGCCCCGCGGACTGGATGGAGCATGGGAAGGCAGTCCTGAGACAGACAGGGACAGGTGGCTGGGGACAGCTGGGGGGGCCGATCAGGGGCGGCCAGCGGGGCCGGGGGAGGGGCGGGCAAGAGGGCACTGCCTGTGTCCCCACCCCCACCCGTCCCAGGGCGGAGCCTACCCCCCCTTCTGTGTGGGGCAAACCCCAGACAACCGATGAGACCACGGAAACAGTGTCCCAGCCATCATCTCGTCACCTTGCCCTCTGTGATTCTGTCAGCGAAACTTCTCTTGGGATGGGGTACTGGGGATGGAACCTAGGGAGTTCACACCGAGTTTCGTCACCAGCCCTTTTAGGTTTTTGAGGCAGGGTCTCAATAAGTTTCTGTGTCGCCCAGGCTGGGCTGGAACTTGCAATCCCACTGCCTCAGCCTCCTGAGAACTAGCATGTGCTGTCACTTAGCCACCTTTTTGTCTATTTATTTATTTATTTGGGATTTGCCTGCCTCAGCCTCCTGAGTTCTAGGTCACCTTTTGAAGCCATTCCTGGGAGTAATGCCTGTGCCCATAAGACTCCTCTTGCGCTTTGTTTTTAAAAAATATCCTAAGCTAGGCACCTATCTAAGCCTGTGATTCCAGCACTTGGGAGGCTGAGGCAGAAAGATTGCCAGGATATCGAGGCCACCCTGGACTACATAGCAAGACCTGGTCTCAAAAAGCCAAAAAGAAAAAAGATAGAGTCCTGGATTTCCCAGGGCTTGCACAGGTCCCAGACCTCATTAACAGAGCATTCCTGGAGCAGGTCATGTGCAGTGTTGACCTTCAGCTACTAGTGAAGAACTTGAAATACTCAATCAAGCTCCCCAGGAGAGGTGGGTCCAGAGTCTTTGGTAAGGACTGGAGATGGAATCCAGGGCCTCACGCATGCTTGGTAGACACTCATCGCTGAGATCTGTAAGACACACCAGACACAGAGGGCACAACATGGGCTCTGTGGACAAGAAACGCCAGGACAGCCAAACCCAGAGATAGGAAGTGGCTTTGAGAGTGCTGGGCTAGAAAAACGGACAGGAGTCAGTGTTTCCTGGGACAGAGGCTCAGTTTGGCATCTTTGCCAACAGGATTTTTTTTTCTCTTCTTCTTCTTCTTCCCCCCTCCC